TGTTGTATTGTATACCTGGATTATTGAGCATGGACTTTTTTGGTTTTAATGATTTGTTCAGATCAAAAACAATATTACTGCTACGACTTCAGGACAGACATTCCTTCAATGCTTTGTCAGTTTTGGGTTAATTTACTGATAAAAATGTGATGAAAGTTGTTTCTCTATATTCGTAAAAAAAATCAGGAAAGTTCAACGAACGCCTGTTGAAGGCAGACGTAATGGGATATTCTCCATCTGAAAACTTTCACTTGTCCCACCGATAACGTCTGATCTGCTCAAGATAATTTAATAGAACTTCAAACACACATGCATCATTAACAGATGGAGTGTAGTGTGCACTGTTCACCATCTCGGATTTAAGGTCAAGGTCACAAATTAAGGTCAAAGTTAAAACCAGGTCTTTGCTTTCCATTCCATAACTTCTGATCCGCTCAAGAAAATTTAACCCAAAAAATACAAATTAGTTCCAACACTGCACGGCATGTCACCTCCACTTTTCATCACCGTAGCTCCAAGGCCAAGACCACAAATTAAGGTCAAAGGTTATACCTTGTATTTGTTTGTCCGAGCCATGTATCAACTGCTACATGTTGCTGTACAACAGTTTGTTGACGAGCGTCTAATGTGCTGTGTGCAGTACAGTAGTCCCTCGCTACTTCACGATTGGTTTATCGGGGATTCGCTCTATCGCGGTTTTTCAAAATAAGAGTAGACATGACACACAATTGGCTTATTGATGGATGAGCCGCACGATCGGTATGAAATTTTTATTTAAAATAAATTATTTTAAATTATTTAGCACCTCCTGCAGCTTTGTGCAGCCCTTACTGCTGCAGGATAAACTTCTTGCTGCCGTTAAACAGTTGATCATATGCTCAGCGTGCAGAGCGGAGAAGTGGGCGTGGCCAAGAGCGCTTGCAGGTGGCAAAGAGCAGAAGAGGCAGGGAGCTGAAATCATGACATTCTGTGCTCTTTTAGAGAGTTTAGAGTTTACAAACATTGTTTAGAATATTGCAAGAGTGTGGGATGGGTTTAAAATGCCTTAATATATACAGGTATACGTATTTAAATAAATACTAAAATAAACTACTACTTGTACTACTATTCCTAATTTGCGGTTTTTCACTTATCGCGGGTCTTCAGGGTACGGATCCTCGCGATAAACGAGGGACTACTGTACTCTTGTTACCTTTAAGCCCGAGGGCTTAAATAACCATTATACAAACGTGGATTCAACTTTTGTGTTGTATTTTGTTTTGGACGATCCATTTGCAGTCGTCTTTATTTTCTCTGTCTCTGCTCTGCTTCAGATCCATCAGTCAAACAGACCATTGTGGAGGATTACGGTTCGACCTGTCCACAAGGCTATAAAAGATTTAACAGAACTCACTGTCAAGGTAACCTGGCTCACGTTTCAACTTGCTTTATTTATTTTTTTTAGCTTTAAAAATCAGCATTTTCTTGATTTAAATGTGCTATATCAGATCTTCATCAAACTATTTATCAGTGGTGTAAAGTCTTCATTTGTCACATCTTTCCTCCCGACCCCGAAGACATCAACGAGTGCTCCCTGCAGGGCGTCTGTCAGAACGGAGAATGCCTCAACACTCTGGGTAGTTTCAAATGTTCCTGCAAGTCCGGGTTTTTCTTGGAGAGAAATCGATGTGTTGGTGAGCGAGAGGTTTTACTCCCAAACGAAGAGTTTTGCTTCACATTGCCATCATAAATGAAACCTGCCTGGTTGCGTCCTCTGTTAGAGTCTGCGCCCGAGCTGGCCCAGTGCTTCCGGATCGCGTCAGAGTCCAGGGGCTGCGAGCACCCTCTGCAGAACCAGATCACCAGGGAGATGTGCTGCTGCACGGTGGGCAAAGCCTGGGGCAGTAAATGTGAAAAGTGTCCTCAGGTGGGCACAGGTGAGTCCCTCTTAATGAACCGTGCCTCAGATCAGACATCTACCTGCATGTATGCAAATATGTTCACAGTGAGATGGATCTTTTATATTAAAATCACACATTTACTGACTTTTAGTGAATATACCTTGAATTGTGCAGCTTGAACAGAGGTTGTAAGTCCGAGGTGTTTCAATGGGTTTGCTCCATTTTCTGAAATATTTATGCACTTCTGGATTGATTGATTGATTGATTTTTGATCCAGTCAATTTAGTGATGTCAGTTTGTCTCCATTTTTTTCTTCCCTATTGAATATCATGAGAAAAATGTGAAAATATTCAGCAGTGAGTGAAAACAGTGCTTGCAGCCACACTTTGATCTGATTCACTTGATAAAAATCTTGTTACCATGGTGATAAGTTTGTCCTCTAAAACTATGAGAAAAGGTAAATACCCATGACATTTCTATAGGTCTTATATAGAGTTGCATTCGGGTCCAAAAAATCTGTCCCGACCCGGCCCCAGCTCGTAGCCATCATTTCTGAACCCCACCCGATCGAACAAATTAACAGTAATTACAAGTCTTAACCCGAAAATAAAACAAAAAACATTTTTAATTAAACTTTGACTGCTAGTTATTAATGGTCGATGGACGTGCGCGGCTGAGTGAAGGGGGCAGAAGATCGGAGCTGAGGAGCCATCAAAGCTCATTAAATGCTTCCCCTGCTTCTGCCTGCACTGGACCCTGCTCTGACATGTCAGATATTTTGTGATCTCACCTGTTCGTTTCGTCGGCCACGCGCGTCCGCTGAGGGCAGCAGCTGAATGATCGTCCATTTGGGCGATGGATTGCCCAAAGGATGAAACTTAACTGAACTTTTTACTTCTTTCAAGGCTGGTCAGCGTGCGGTCAAATGGCAGCGTGTGGCTGGTGATTGTATGGCAAGCCACGTTGCCATATAATTGGATCATCAATCGCACGCGTCTGCTGGCGCAATCAAAAGCCCAAAACTGACCTAAGCACATTATTATGGCCCGGCTCGGTCCGAATCCGGGCTCCGGGTTCGGGTTAGAAATGACAGCTCTAATCTTATATATTGTATTGATTTTATTGTCCACGATGGGGGAGCGAAGAAGGGACTTGGAAATACTCTCCAATCGTCCATCTTGTGAGCTGGATAACTAGGAAAATAAGCAACATGCTGACTTCCACAGTGGTGTGTGGTTGCATCTAGGTGTAGAAAAAGTCACTAGTGACATTTGGGTGATGATGTCAAAATCCAAGATGGCCATCACCATATGTGTAAACAGCCACCACAATCATTTGAGGAAACTATGCGTTCTAGTTTGTATATTGGTTAAAAGCAAAGTTTCCTCAAATGATTGGGGTGGCCGAAGAGTAATCTTTAGTGGCTAAGGCCACCATTGGCCACCCCCTGGCTCCATCATTGCACCTGGTGGTGGATAAAACTGCCCCTTCCACCAGGACTCTGTATCTCCTCAGACAAATAAAAGGAAATCCTCCCTCTCTCCACAGTGTAACTCCTCCCTACTTGAATATCTTGCACCAAAAGCATTAAGGTTTACTTTCATTCCCTGTTCAATTCTGGTCCAGAAAAACACTCATCTCCAAAACTACGAACATTCACCATTCAAACCCTTCAGTGACATCAGGGCACTGCTTGTTTCATTAGTGATATGCTTTGATTTGGTGCAGCTTTTCTCAACTCTGCTCTCAACGTCACAGTTTGTCACCCCACAAGTCCAAGCGGGGGACGTGGTCTTGTTTTAATCATATTTTATCTTCTTGGTGTTTTTACTTCACTCTAAACACGGGGATCGGCTTTAAATATCTTTCAGCGTGTTATTTAAAATAGAGTCAGCATTGAAATAGATTCTAGACATTTTTGATCACAAATTAGCAATTGTTGCTACAAAGACGAGTCTAAAATTCCTTTTAGATTCCAGGAAGTAGTTTTTTTTGTTTGTTTTGTTTAACTGGATTTATTCTTATAACAAGTGACATAAAATACCATTATAAACCAATTTATTTTCCTCTGGTGTGGTTTTCAGTGGCCTTCAGTCAGATCTGCCCTGCAGGGAAAGGATACTTCCTCCAAAGTATAACAGAAACTGTCGCCTTGCCTCCCATCATCTTTCCTCCAAACCGTGAGTGCTTGAACCTCAAATTTTTCTTACTCCGGCAAATCTCAGGTGAGCTCACAGTTTAAATTTTCTTCTGTCATTGTATTTTTCAGCCCCTCTGGTGACGGTAAGACATTAGATCTCTTTGTTCTTTTAAATTTTTCTTGGCTGGTGTGAGATTTATTTTCAGTTTTATTTCAGGAGAAGCCTCCAGACCCGACCACAGCGCAGCAGGTCTCTGTCAGTCCACGTGTACCCGGTAAACACGCCTCCTTTCACATTCACGCACACCCTAAAGAAGATGAAAATGCTAAAAGTGACGACGAGGCTTTCTTGATGCAAACCGACAGTAGAGTGCACAGAAATGTTGCGACTAAAACTCGTGTCACAGTTCCTCCTCGTAACGTTCGTCCTCCTCATGTCTCCTCTGCTGGATCCACAGTTGTTAAACCCACACCTCCTCCACTGGTCCGAATCCACCCGGACAATGACCCCTTCGAAACAGAGACATACAGCCGTGAGTTTCACACAAACTGTTCACTTTCTGATGAGTCCGATTTATGAAAACTACGTCACGTTTCACTAAAAAAATGGGGAAAATCCTGGTCTCCACATTCAGGTGCTGTTCTAACAGATGTGTTTCTCCATGCAGTAATTAACAATGATTTATGATGGATTATTACCTCAAACTTTCAACACAAAAAACAACCCATAAGGATAGAAATCTATAGACATAAGTACATTTGAACTCTGAGTTGAGTGTTTTGCATGCTTCTTATGATGCCTTCAGGCGCCACATGTTCTATGAAGCAACAATCAGCTGTGAGGCTTTGCTCACTCTCGTTCTTCTTTATGAAACAGTATTTTTTACCCTGTTATTTAATAATAAATTACGTGATAAACATTTTGATTCCATAAAAAGGAACACCATACTCACAAAAGAAATCAGTGATGATTTGAAACGAATGCAAGCGTGATAAAAATCATTGTGTTTTCTGCTGCACTCTGTCTCTGATCTTTCTTGAGGGATTTTTTTTATGGTTCTTAAAATACTAAAGTTTTTCCCTTAGCGATGTCTCTTTTCTGACACTTTTAAAAACAATCATAGGTGTTTAAAAAAGCTACAGCAGTGTGAACAAGGCAAACGTAGATAGATTATAGCTGTATATAAACACAATGATCAGCCAAAACATTAAAATAAAATAAAATATTAAGTAAGTCTACTTAACCAGGGCTTTTCCTGCAAACTGGTGTGATCAGAACTTGTGCTAGAAATTGTTTTCTACATAAAAACACATGTTTTTGTTTGTTTTTCCCAATCAGATTACCAAGATCTTTACTGTACATCAATTACCGTATTTTCCGGATTATACGTCGCTCCGGAGTATAGGTCGCATCGGTCAAAAAATGCCTCATGAAGAGGAAAAAAACATTTATGAGTCACTTCAGAGTTTAAGTTGCATTTATTTATTAGTGTATTTCACAAAGTGCAAGAACAGGCATTTAATCTGAAGTAGCAATAACACACAGAACATACCTGGGATCCTGAACAGACTTAATTAACATAACAAGCCAACAAGTCTGACAAGCAAGTTACCGGTAAAACCAAAAAAGTCCATGCTCAATAATCCAGGTATACAATCCAACAATTTTCAGTCAGGTCATCTGGAAAGTTTCCTTTTTTTTTGCTGAAACGTTTCACCTTCCATCCAGAAGGCTTCATCAGTCAAGGAAACACACAACAAAACTGATTATTCCCCCAAACAGCTTACTCCAAAGTGGAACAAACCAGTTATGTTGGTGCTAAGATGGCGTCTTTGGCACGCCCCTCCTCTGATGCCGGCCCTCTTCCTCGTCGACAGTCATGTCATACTGGTTCAAAATCAAAAAAGTCCATGCTCAATAATCCAGGTATACAATCCAACAATTTTCAGTCAGGTCATCTGGACAGTTTCTTTTTTTGTGCTGAAACGTCCAAGTTACCGGTAAATTCACCAATCTCATTCCACATCACTGAATCCATTAAATTCTTCATCCTCGGTGTCGCTTCTCTATAGTTGTAAAAAGCCTTGACTCTAGGCCCTAGAGGGCCCTCTCACAGCTGCAAATGGTAATGTTTACTTTTAGGTTCATGTCAGTATGAATGAATATTTTAATGCGTTAGTCAAAATTGCATCATGAATAGGGAAAAAAAACAAATATAAGTCGCTTCGGACTATACGTCGCAGGACTGGCCAAACTATGAAATAAAGTGTGACGTAAAGTCCGGAAAATACGGTAAAATATTTTTGGGACGATGTCCGTTTCTCCCAATGATTTAACAAAATAAAGATATCAATGCAGACAGTATTTGGCCCTCTGAGGACTGGCATTGTGGTTTGTTTGTCACAATAACTTCATCGGATTAGACTTTGAGAAATATGGAGGCCGTTATAATGTTTTGTGAGACATTCTTTAATCATTTTTGTGGTATTTATACTGTAACTGGATAAAACTGCCACTGTAGACTAGTGTTGTTACCATGCGAAGTGTTTCCGTTATCAGCTAAAGTACTCAGGCGAGTGTCAAAGGGTCAGTTTAACCTGAGTTAATATGCAGGTTACCAAGTGGTTTTAATGTACCGACAGACATTCATATTATGTACACACATACATACATACACATATATACATACAAACATGTATACTGTATTTACATACATACAGTATGTGTGTAAATACACACAGATATACATATACTGTATATACATATATGCATGCATAGGTGTGCATTATATGACACTGTTCTTTATTTGTTCCCTCTTCGAAGAGGAGACAGATGAGTGTGGGCAAAGCAGAAGTATTTGCGGTCGTGGAGAGTGTGAGAACAGCGCAAACGGCCACATCTGTCACTGTTTCCCCGGCTACCGTCTCAACCCGCAGAAGAACATCTGTGAGGGTAAGAGAGAGCATCTGAGAAACAAGACAAACTTCTCATTTGCATTATTTGGAGTGACTGTTCTTGGGAAAAACAGGTGATTTTGGTTACAGGAAATTAGTTTACTTGCTTGCCGCTGTGAAAGTTTAGGTAGTAATGGAATTGCCTGTTTGTGTGTCTATTTGTGTGTTAGCAAAATATCTTGTGAACCACTGCATGAACTTCAATGAAACTCTCAGAAAATAACTTTTAGATGTACCTCGACAACTGATTATCTTTTGGCGTCAGCTTGATTCAAGATGGCCGCCACAGCTAATCAACCATTGCAAACACAAAAAAATGCTATAACTCAATTTTCAGGCAGCACGACAGCTCAGTGGTTATCGCTGTTGCCTCACAGCGAGAAGGTCCTGTGTTCGATAACTGGTTTGGACCTTGGGTCTTTCTGTGTGGAGTTTGCACACATAGTTTACTCGGGTTTCCTCCCACTGTCCAAAAATACATGAATTATAGGCTGCTCAACTGCTCACGTTTGACCAAATATGACTTAATCCCTGATTAGATGTGATGGGTCACATATGTTGTGCATTGTAAATTTAATCTTTGGCTTTTTTTCAGGTCAAACACGTGACTTGAGCCTTAAGATAATTTAAAAGTAGACTGAAAACCACCTCTCACTGAGGCACTTTGTTCAAATGTTGCTGAGAAGTAACTATAATTAAAAGTATCTTAAAGTGTCTGTGACATCAAATTTTCCGAACCAACATGAATGCATTTTTGAAAAGACAACATTAATAAAGTATTGCAAAAAGAAATCTCACACCATTAGACAGTCAGTTGTTGAGATATTCTCATGCACAGTAACAGGAAGTGATGTCACAGGGAAACGCCTGCGTGTTAACAGAGCATTGTAACAATGTCTAAAAACACAGACACTAGAGAAGAGTGTGATGTTTCTTTACATATTTTTGAGTCTATCAGAGAGAAGAAGGGTCAAAGTTCAGATAATGTTTGAATGAACAAAGACCAGGAAGTTCCTGTTTTTAGAGTTCCCTTTTGATGTCACTTCCTGTTTCACTTTAGCCACACAAAGTTCAAAATAAAATATGCCTGTTATGTGACAAAATGGGTAAAATCTTGTGTATTATGTCAAATTTCTTTAATTTTAAGATGTTTATTTCCACTTTTTGTATTTGTGGGAAATGCATGCCACAGATACTTTAAAGAGTATGAATTTTGGTCTCTGTATAGCTTTTTACTGCTTTTATGTAATATCCAGCAACATTTGTTTCCATCATGTTCCTTTTCTCACCAACACTCACTCCTGCTGCCCAGACGATAACGAGTGTGAATCGGAGCCTTGCGGCCACGGTAGAGGCCGTTGTGTCAACACAGAAGGGACGTACAAATGCCACTGTCGGCCAGGTTATAAACACCTGGTGCTGCATGGAAGACTTAAGTGCACAGGTACAGCAAGCAAGCAGACTGCTAGATGTGGTAATCCTTGAATATCAAGCCAACTCTAACCTTCTTGTTTTGCAGATGTGAACGAATGCCTTAAACAGGACATCTGCGGTGTTGGAGGTCGCTGTGTGAACTTGCTTGGTTCCTATAAATGTGAATGTCACAGCGGCTTCAGGGCCAAGTCACACCGGTATCCAGCCTGTGAAGGTAAAAAAAGAGTGTCATTAAAGAAATTCCAGTTAATTATTATTACTTGTCACTATAATCTTCCATCTGTGTCCTGTCTGTTTTTTAACACAACTTTTACACATTTGTTTCAGATATTAATGAGTGTTTGAGTCCAGATTCTTGTCCTAATGAGCAGTGTGAGAACACGCCAGGCTCTTATGAGTGTGTGCCTTGTTTACCTGGTTATGAGGCCCATGCTGGCACCTGCTATGGTGAGAAGACCCCCATTGATTGGCTAAATTGATCATCTATTAACTCGTTGTTCAAATGTCTTTTTGTGTTTTGTTTTAAGTGTAAGTTAAATTTTTTTCAGGAGGGCAAAAGGTTATGAGGGCAAAAGGAGTGAAAAGGTTATGAGCAAATAACATCTTACCTTTTGTAAATAGCCCTTTAAATGACCTCAGTTCAGATAAATAAAGTTTAATTCTCCAGTTTAATTTGGCTTTATTATTATTTTACTTATGAAGCATTTCAAAATAACCAAATAGGGCTAAGGAGCTGTACAAAACTATTAATAAAAGCCATAACATCAATCACAGAACATCAAATACAGTAAAATGACAAAGATGTGGTGGCAAAAGGACTAAACTTTGCCATCTCCCCACAAGAAATACCTGTTGTGGAACTAATCACGGCCACTGAATCTGCGATTAGGAATAACAACTTGACGGAAGCAGAGGTTGAACAACTCAGAATGAAAATATCAGCAACCCTCTCCTGTGCCAAACTGCCTCCTTCAAATATCACACCACAGGAAAGGAAAGCTGTAACATCACTCAGCCAGGACCAAAACATCACCATTTTACCAGCTGATAAAGGAAGATGCACGGTGGTCCTCAACACTTCTGATTACCAGGAAAAAATAACTACACTACTGAGCAACAGCAACACCTACAAGACTCTGAAGAGGGAGCCAACTAGCACCTATAAAAAGAGTCACAGATTACCTGCAAAAACTTGAAAAGGCGAAAACAATCAATCGATCATTGTATTATAAATTGTACCCAGGGGAAGCAACAGCTAAGGCTGCGGACTGCTCGGCCTTATGGTACTCCTCAGGTGCCTCTGAAACACCTCCAGCCAACAAGGCCCAATAGGTCTTCTTCTTCAGCTTGACAGCCTCCCTAACCCGTGGTGTCCACCACCAAGCTCTAGGATGGCCACCGCGAGAAACACCAACAACCTTGAGGCCACAGCTCAAGGCAGCCAACTTAACAATTGAGGCCGAAACATGACCCACTCAGACTCAATGTCCACCGCCTCAGCTGGGATGCAGTTAAAACTCTTCTAGAGGTATGAGTTGAAGATCTTTCTGACAGGTTCTTCTGCCTGGCATTCCCAGCAAAATCTCACTACATGTTTGGATCTACCGGGTCTGTCCGGCATCTTCCTTCACCATCTAATCCAACTCACTACCAGGCGGTGATCAGTTGACAGTTCAGATCCTCTCTTTGCCCGAGTGTCCAAAACAAATGGCCACAAATCTGATGACACAACTACAAAGTCAATCATCAATCTATGGCCCAGGGCATCCTGGTGCCAAGTGCACTTATGGACACCCTTATGTTCGAACATGGTGTTTGTGATGGACAAACATTGACTAGCACATAAGTCCAACAACAGAACACAGCTCAGATTCAGATCAGAGAGGCTGTTCCTCCCAGTCATGCCCCTCCAGGTCACATTGTCATTACTCACGTGGGCATTGACGTCCCCCAGCAGAATAAAGGAGTCCCCAGCTAGAGCACCTTCCAGCACCCCTGCCAAGGACTCCAAGAAGGCAAGATACTCTGAACTGCCATTTGGCACATAGGCACAAACAAACGTCAGAGCCCATCCCCCACCCGAAAGCTCAGGGAAACTACCTCTCATATACCAGGGAAAACTCCAAGACACAAGCACCAAGTCAGGGGGCTAAAAGTAGACCCCCATCAGTTTGGTGCCTCTCACCATGGGAAACTCCAGAGTGGAATAAGGTCCAGCCCCTATCAAGGAAATTGGTTCTGGAGCCCATTCTGTGCTTCAAGGTGAGCCCAACTATATCTAGTCCGTACCGCTCGACCTCACGCACAAGCTCAGACTCCTTCCCCACCAGAGAGGTCGCGTTCCATGTCCCAAGAACCAGTTTTGGTAAGCCAGGGCCAGAGCGCCAAGGTACCTACCTTCAGCCACTGCCTTCAGCCACTGCCCTTGGAGTCATGCACCCGACTTGTATGACCCCTTCCTTGTGGTGGGCCCACAGGAAGGAAAAACCCATGTTGCTTGTTTGGGGTGAGCCCAACCATGCCCCATCGGTAAAGAACTGGTCACTATGGGCTCGCCAAAGAACCCCTCCCCCAGGCCTGGCTTCAGGGTGGAGTCCCGGTAGCCCACATCTGGGCAAAGCACAATGAGCCCCTTATTGTTTTCTGACCATATTAGTTTTGGAATCACTCTTTGTCTGGCCTGTCACCAGGGACCAATCTGTCTTGGGAGACCCTAACAGGGGCAATTACAATTTCCCCCGACATCATAGCTCCTAGAATTATTCAGGCACACAAACTCCTCCACCACAATAAGGTGGCTTTTCAAGAAGGAGTCAAAATTAAAAAAAATTTAATCCACATGAATTGATGAACGACCATATTAATGAGCTAATGGCTAGTCTAAGTGTAACTGAGAAAATTGTATTGCTGCCATCCTAAAAAATAAATCTCTAAAATTTAAAGATTCATGCAAACAATACATTTTCTAACGTTTCATTGCTGACAGCTTTGCAATACTCGATAATGCAAAATGTTCTGGTTATCTGCAAGAGTAGATAGTAGCAGCAGCTGGCTGTACCACTTCCTGTGCAGCCCGGGGCACTTCCAAAGGGAATATCATAACATTTCTTCTAGAATAACCTTTTAATGCGAAACTGATATTGATGTGAAGGTTTATAAAAAGTGTTCAGAGGAACCACTTCTGTTTCTTTAAACTAAGGTCATTCAAATATGTAAATATATAAATATGGAAGGTCAAAGGTAGTGTTGTATCTGAACACAACCAACCTCTTCTTCATATATCACCAGACATTAATGAGTGTCTGAAGCCCAACATCTGTCCTAACGGCCGCTGCGAGAACCTACCCGGAACTTACCGATGCCTCTGCAACGAGGGCTTCCTCCATTCAGCAGACAGCAAGAATTGTGGCGGTAAGTAATGTTCACATATCAATCACATTAACCTCATATATATATAAGGCTTTTTCTTTAATAAATCTGTTTTTTTAATGGTTGTTTTGAAACAGACATTGACGAGTGTGCAGATGTTCGGCTGTGTGCTTACGGTCACTGCATCAACACAGAAGGCTCCTTTAAGTGCCATTGTTACCCAGGATATCAGCGCACGCAGGAGGGTAGCCACTGTGAAGGTACAACTCACTTCAGAACCCATCTGTTTCTATAGTGTCAATGGCAAACAGCCTGTAAATGTTATCTGATGTAAAATGTATATATTTTGCTCCCTGTCGCAAAGCCAAATGGGAAATGCTCACCCCTTGTCCATCCATCTGCCTTGTGAGCTGGACAATTAAAAAAATAGGTGCGGTATCGACTTCCACTTTGGTGTGTGGTTGCATCTAGGTTTAAGAAATGTCCCTTTTGAAAACTGGGTTGCCAAGTCAAAATCCAAGATGGCCACCTTATTTATAAATATATTTGTGTGTGTGTGTGTGTGTGTGTAGACCAGTCACCCCTAGCATTTGAAGAAACTAGATTTGGATGGTCAAAGATTAATCTATGGTGACCAAGGCCACCATTGGCCACCCCCTGGCTCCACCATTGTACCTGGCAGTGGATAAAATTGCTCCCTCCGCTTCCCAGGCTCCGACACTCTGCGCTGCCTCGGACACGGAAAAAAACCCTCCCTCTGTTCTTCTCCACATTGTAAATCCTCTCCACTAGAATATCTTGCACCAAAAACATTAAGGTTTATTTGCACTCACTGTTCAATTTGAGTCCAGAAAAACACTCATCTTCAAAACCACATTCACTATTCAAATCCCTCAGTGACGGGGGACATCGGTGTATGGCTAATTTATTTCAGTAACTGATAATTAAATGATTTTGAGACCAACAATAATTTTTCACACTTTATGGACTGATGTATAAACAATACAAACAAACAAAAACTTTGTGCATGTCTTTTCTGGCACACAAATCTGAGTGAAAATGTGCGCATTTCAGATGATGTGAACACACCTCAACTCGGCCCTGATACAGAAAATGAAGTGGAACAAATGGAAAAGTAGAATTTCTGGGAAAAAATACACATGTCCCTCTGCCTAGCATGCCAGTTTTTACACAAAGAACTCACATGATCCGTTAGCAGTCAGTGTTTATGTTGGGTGTGATTCTTGACGACTACCACCCCAATTTTTTTAGCTCAGTATCTGTAAAATTGTCTGAGGTAGGTTGTACCTGGGTCTGTGATGGTTTAAAATGAGAAGATGTTAGGAACACTTTACTATTTGGATAAATCAGTCCTTCTCAAATAGTGGGATGCGCCCCCCTGGGGGGGCCCGGGGCAATGCCAGGGGGGGTGCTTGTGACCTGGAGAACATGCTTTTTTTTGGCCACAGGGAGTAGTTTTATTTTTTTTATTTTTTTTACCATTCTCATTTTGTCTCGTGCGTTCCAGCAGCTGTTTGCTCGTATCTCTCAGACGTACTCTAAAGTTATGAACAAATATGGCTGCCTTGTCGTTTTGGGAGCCATGCATGAACCGTGTCGCTCGACTCGCTCCCCTCTGCTTCTGAAACATAAACTCAGAAACCTCCTCTGTTTTTATGTCCATGCGCTCTGGACGTCACTCGCAGCTCGCATGCAACAAAGAGTAAACTCAAGCGAGAGCGACACCTGCCCCTTCTTTCCTCTTTCGCGTTGACAAAATGTTTTAGTTTTATCGATGAGTGTGCTCATTGATCCTGACTTCCTCGTTTTGATTTTAAAAAAATAATAATAATATTACAAATTGTTTTATTCATTTTTTTTATTTTTAGGTCAAAGTGTTTTATATAACACTCATGAGTTAAAATGTTGCTGATCAATTTGGATTTATTATTATTTACTGATTATATATATTTTTTATTTTTCAGTATCAAATGGCCAAAAATGTTTACAGTTTAAATAAGGATTTAATTTTTTTTTCAGGCAAATTGATGCACTTTAATTACTTTCTCTTATAGACTAAAAAGTTTAAAAAGTTATTCTTCATTTTTAACTTAATGTTAATAAGGACACATTGTTATGCAGAGGTGTGCTTATAACAATTTTATAGACAAATTATACTATTTATAGTTGCGGCGGAGAGTTGGGGGGGCACGAAATGTTTACGTCTTCCTAGGGGGGTATAACAGAAAATAATTGAGAAGCACTGGTATAAATCAACACTCCAGACACGGGTTGAAATTCAACCCGGCTGATTGCAGATAAGTCGATGCTTTTAGAAGAAGATTCAGTTTCACCATCACAAGTTTCACATTTGAATGTTGTCGTCCCTCCAGATATTAATGAGTGTGAGCGGACATCCAGCTGCCTCCGGGGCCGCTGCATCAACAGCATGGGCTCATACCACTGTGAGTGCCAGAAGGGATACACCCTGATTGGAGGCAGGGAATGTCAAGGTCAGTCTCTTCATTTGCCAATACAGCACAAGTAACTTTCTAGTTTTTCTTCACCTATGTAAAGGCGAATGGTAGTCTAAGTTAAAGTAAAAATTGAAAACAGAGTGTTATTTATTAATTTAATTTCTTGTGGTTTGTGGTAAAGCTGCAACACTTTGGACTGCAACAAATCCTTAGAGCTGCATGATTTTCATTTCAGACATTGACGAATGTGCTGTAGACAGGAATCTCTGCCAGCCCTATGGCTCATGTGAGAACAGACTTGGCTCGTACGTATGCGTCTGCAATCACGGTTATGTCCTCTCAGAGGACAGACACAGCTGTGAGGGTAAGCCTGCTCTGATTTATTTTGCTCATATGTTAGAATCCCATTCCTCTGAGTGCCAAACATCAAATTCCTGCATGCTCCAAAACTTGAAACCATATCCGAACCATATAAGTCAAATATTGTCACATCCTGTACCTGCCCCCAAACACTTTGAAGCATTAGCATTAAAAAACAAGAGCGATTAAAGTCTTAAAGAGTGATGAGATGTACACACCTCAGCCTCAGTTTTCTGGCTCTTTCTCGCATCATTTTGCAGCCGTTCAAGTGTTGACAGATGAGAAGAAGGAGTGCTACCTGAACCTCGATGATACGGTGTTCTGCGACAGCGTTCTGGCTATTAACGTCACCAAACAGGAGTGTTGCTGCTCCATTGGAATGGGATGGGGAGATCACTGTGAGATCCACCCCTGCCCTGTCTCCCACTCGGGTACTTTTATTTGCATAAAAAAAAATTATGTTTTTTTTTTTTTTTTTACACATTGTTTTATTTATCTAAAAAAGTTAAATCTGATCCTCTGGACATTCAAAAAAACAAAACAAAGCAAAACAACAAAAAAATGTAGAAACGTTTCGTCTCTCATCCGAGAGACTTCCTCAGTCTGAGGAGCTGTATTCAGCTCAGTCTCTTAAATAGCACCTTCTCAGGGTGGATCAACCAGTTTTGCTGCTGACAACCAAAACCAGCTGATCACATGCTCAAGAAGGACCATCAGCCTAACAATGGATCATTAGCACACTGATGGCTGTTTACTGTTCACAGAGGGCTGAGTGATACTAGCAATCACAGCATTGTAAGAGGGGGACAGTTGAACCCGGAGGCCTCCACCCCTGTTTAACGATGGACGATTTCTTTTCACAAAGATGGTCTCCTTTACTCCTCTCTCAAACCATCGTTCCTCTCTGTCCAGGATGTGAACATCTTCATCCCTGAAAGAGTGACCGTCTACACTCATCTCCAGGCCAGCGGTCACTATTTTAGAAGACTGAGCTGAATACAGCTCCTCAGACTGAGGAAGTCTCTCGGATGAGAGACGAAACGTTTCTACATTTTTTTGTTGTTTTGCTTTGTTTTGTTTTTTTGAATGTCCAGAGGACCAGATTTAACTTTTTTAGATTTTTCTACCTGGATTATTGAGCATGCATCAGGATATTGTTTTATTTACTTTTTCCCCTCTTAACACAGCTGAGTTCCACTTCCTTTGTCCACACGGTCAAGGCTTCTACAGTGAGGAACAAATCCAGTACAGCCTGCCTGCGTATCATGGTAAATATTATATAACTTCACTTTCAATCAGGGGCACCACCAAGGATGGTCGGGGGGGAGGGGGTACTGCACACCCCTAAAATATTGGTTCCCACCCCCACCCCCACCCCACTGGCCCTCCTTAACCAGACAATTATATATTGTTGAGCCCAAATATTTTGCTTGGTCTGCATTTTTATTTCCCCCTAGATATTTAGGATTGGTAGACCCTCATAAATGTAAAAATAAGCATTATTTTTTAAGCAATTAGGAATTACAAATATAAATATATATCTTTATTTAAAAAAAAAAAAAAACATTGATCAATCTAAAACCAATGTCTTCATCATTAGGATCCAGGTCTCTGAGTTTATATATATATATATATTTTTTTTTTTTTTTTTTTTTTTTTTTT